ACCTTTCAAACTTCCATATCCGCATCTGCAAATAAATAAGTGGACTGCAATTAAATCTTTTACAAATCACATTATAACAAATAAAAAAATCTGCATATACTTATTGTATGACTTATTTAGTAATGTAATTGTGATTTAAATGTTTCTAAATGAGAATAATAAAAAATAAACTTTTTAAAAAGTTAAATAATACATGTCTCATTATTTTCATTATACTTTTACCTACTTAGTTTTGAAATATTTTGTTTTTGAAATGCTAAACAATATTTCTCATTGCAGAATTAAACTTACCACTATTAACTAAACAGTATTCTTGCAATATGTCTACATTTTTTTGCAATGTTTTTACTTCAGTAATTAAAGATTTTATTTTGTAAAGTTCAGTTCCTATGCTGTTTGTACAAAAAGTCTAGAAACAAAGAAAATAAGATAATATAAATTTTAAATCTGTTTTTCTATTCAGTTAGAATTACAGCAACTTACAATATTTTGAACACAATTTGTAGAATCATTGTCATTGACTTTGTTGTTGTTATCAAAATTTTTATACACATTTTGTAAGTTATTTATGAAATCAATTCCTTCAGATAAAAACATTATTGCTTGCCTAAAAGAATATTTTTCATTAATAATTTATAACACAAAAATATATTTTTAGAAACTCATACCGATGATAATCATGAGAAACTGGCAATCCTGGAATACTCTTTGAGTTATGAATTAATTTATATATTGAATGTTTATGTATTGTTAAACGTTGAAGATTCTTACTAATATTTTCTTTACAATCATTTCGTTCATCTGCAATAAATATATAATTTTATTTATTAATTCTCTAAAATTATTGAAAATAATTTTGTTTTATACAAAAACAAAAACGAAAACCTTTCAAAGTTTGTAATGTATTCATTAAATTACTATATTCTGCAATTCGCTTTTTTTCTTCCTTTACAAATTGTTCTTCACAAACAGTTCTCCTTTTATATAGCAGCTTGATAGCCTTTTCAATATTTTCCATTTCAAATTATTTCAAAATGTAAACAAAATTAACATGTACACTGTGATGTGGTGTATCGACTTTGTTCTGTCCTGTGTGAAATTGCGTACGTACGATACGTGGATGACGAAGCGTACAATCGATGTGGAACGCCATTCACGTGATTGAAACTCAGTGTATTTATGTCAAAATGGCAGATATCTCGTTTTCTGGTCGAGCGTATTGTAAGATCCTTTTACACGCGGTTAAGTATCCTCATTGTGCAATAAATGGCTTGTTGTTAGCGAAACAAAAGAATAAAAATGATGGTAAATCTGTTGAATTACGTATTGAAGATGCGATTCCACTGTTTCATATCTGCCTTCACGTCTCGCCAATGGCGGAAATTGCTTTAGCTATGGTAAATATTTAAATCGTATTATTCACTTTGCTCATTTAACATAGGATAAGTTTTTCCGATCTTTTTATATTAATAAATTATGTAGGTATAAAGTACTTAATACATTGAAATCATGAAATTCAAAATTTATGACTATATATAAACATACTATACTATACACATAAACATATTATGACTATACTATAAACATTTGTAATAAAGGTCTTTTACAAACTCATTACACATTTATTTACAACATTTTACGTAATTATAATAAATTATTATTAATGTAGAAATATACTCGATTTTGAAATTTTATAATAGGAATATATTTAAACAAAAATGTTTCTATGTAAATAAAAATGTAGCTATTTTCAGGTTGATCAATATGCTAATAGCAAAGGATTAATACTTGCAGGATATTATCTTGCAAACGAAAATATAAATGATTTAAGGTAATTAAATATTTAAAGTTTTTAAAAATCATTTGCCATTGGTCTTAGTAAAAATTATTTACTCATCAAAATTATTATTTTCAATATAGTACAGATAAACCTGCTCACAGAATAGCAGACAAAATAGCAGAAAATTGTGGCAATGCTCTACTTGTTGTTGTAAGTATTATATAAAATAAAATTCTTCAGAAACTTTTCTATTTTCTTTTATTATTGTTAGGTTTTTTTTTATTTGTTATATATATATATTAACTATTTTATTTTTACAGTGTAATGTATGACAAAAGAGTAACACATACACATGTATTATATTCTTTACTAAAAGCAGAACAATATAGGAATCTTGTTGATTTTGATAATCATCTTGATGATATTTCTCTTGACTGGCAAAATCGTAAACTTAATAAAATCATAGATGAAGCTATGAAAAAACAAATCTGGATATCCAGGTAAAATGTAATTTTGGGGTAAATAAGTTATAAACATTTTTAAATGCATTTAGGTACATTTAATGTAAATAAATTAATAAATAAGGTTAACATGTTACGAAATTATCAATATTGAAGTACTTATTTGCTTAGATTTTATATTCATACAAAAAAAACATTTAATTATATATCTGTACCTATATTATTTTCACATTTTTTATTGTAAAAATAATGAATCACCTTTTTAATGTAATCAATAACAAACAGAAAGGAAAATGTTAACAATGAATAAAATTTTGGCATTACTAAGTACAATGATAATTACTGTTATTCCAAGTACAATAGCTCCTAATCCATCTAAAATAGAGGAAAAACGAAAAGAAATTAACAAACAAATAATAGTTAAAAAACAAGAAAAATTAAATGAATTAGATAAAATGGTAAAAGAAGTTAAAGAAGCTAGAATATATGATGATGAATTAAAAGCTTAACTTGACTTCAACTTGTGATCAAGTAAGCTTGTGATGAATTAAAAGCTTGACTAAAGAATCTGTATTCCTGTTAACAAGTCGTAGTTCCCGTCACCAAACGCGAGACAGCATTAGTCTCACTTTTTAAATTTTCTGTCCTTGTGTATCTCTATACCTTTCCTTGCCTAACTCTTTTCTCTAGTGTTGTTCTTGTCTACCCGTATTCCTTTTCTTGTTTTACTCATTTCTAAATTGCTATATAAAATACCTCGATGTGTTATTTAATGTTCCCCTCGTTGAAATACTATTCAATTTAAAATATGGAGCCTGTGACAATGTTTTCAAACCTCGATAACAATTATTTGGAATATTTGTTGCTAAAGCATTTCTTTCTATATAGACTGTAAAGTTAAGAAAATTCCAATTAAATTTGTCCTTACTTTAAGGGGTACCCGATTAAGTAAGTGCTGTATGAAATATTTTTCGAATAACGAATAGTTCGGGAGATAATTTCGCGCATTGATTAAAATGAAACATCTTGTATATGTATTTCTTGGAGTTGTTTTGTATGTACTATTTTTCTGATTAGTGTACTTAGCTATTTTGTTATAGCTAGGGTTTGTAAGATGATGGAGGGAGGTGTTTTAGGATTGTTTAGTTGTAAATCGTCTTAGGATTCCTAGAAATGAACAAATGTTTAAATTTCTAATTTACAATTTGTCACACATGCGAACATCGGCTGTCCTGAAATGCTGAGTAAAATATTGTTTTATTAAAGGTGGAAGGTTGCGTTCGGATACAGAACTTTCGCCAGTTTTCTTTATTACACTAAACTGGTACTCGAGCAATGTCTGTTGTGCATATGACAAATGCAGCAATAATATTTTTATATTATAAATAAACTTCGAGGTTAAGTTGCAAGTCCAGTTAAATTACTTTTTCTTTATTATGACTTGTTTGTTAGAACAATACAAATTTGAGTGTCGGTAAGTTATTATTTGGAATAAATACATACATATATACATTTACATATTTGAAGCAATACTACATAACTTTTAAATCTAATATGTAAGTTATAATAACGCTTGAGTAATTTAATGAGGTTTAATAATTTATGTTAATATTATAACAATTTTATTTAATATGCATCACTCATTTAGGGTTAGTTCAGTTTTAAATAAAAATAACAAATCCTATGGGAAACATTACATGTTTGATAATTGTCCTGAAACATGTTGGAATTCCGATGCGGTAAGACAATTTTTATATTGTTAAAAATTAATTTGTTTTTAAATAGTTATACTAATACATTAAATGTATTATTTTTAATTAATATAGTTTGGTAAAGAAATAATAGAACAACTCTGTGTTTTTTCAAGATGTGTATTTTTCAAAATGTATTGCACAATTTAGCTAATTATTGAATATTATAAAATATATGTTAT